GGTCAACGATGATTTAAGTTGAACTTTCGCGGGCAATGTTTGGCAAACCTGGTGAGAGGGATGGAATGGGTGGACCGGGGGGGGATAATTTAGTGATAAGTACATTGTTTCTCTGGATGCATCCCTGCCTGAGGGTGGGGGGTTGGGGCGGTTGTGTAGAGCGGGGAGTGATGCGTACAAGTAGTGCACACGTAGTAGTGGAAACTATAAAGGTGCTCTCTCTCCGGTGAATGTAAGTCAAGCGAGCGTGGTCGACGCTATGAGGCACTGGTTACACTGCGGAGACTCGCGGGCCGAGATGAAACTTTGGGTAAACTGCAAATGAAATGTTGTGTCGAAGGCGTCATCTTTGAAGAGAGTTGTGCATCGCGAGTAAGGGACCCGTCGCAAGAGCTGTCTGTTCTTAGAGCTGACTGTGACCAGAGTTTTCCGTCACAAGAGTTGTCCGTCACAAGAATTGATCGTCACAAGAGTTCTCTGCCCCTAGAGCTGGCTGACTGTGACTAGAGTTGTCTGTCACAAGAGTTATCTGTCACAAGAATTGATCGTCACATGAGTTCACCGTCCCAAAAGACACTGACATTCAAAAAAAAAAAAAAAATTACTTAAATTGTTTTCTAAGAATCAAAATTTTAAAAAATTTAAAAATAAAACCAATAATTTAAAAAAAAACATCCCTTTAATTATTCCGTAACATTAAAATATTATACATACATAATTTTCAACCAGGGACACATATGTTATACCATAAGACGTACATAAATCATGGAATAATTGTAAATGTGGCGTCAGAAAAGTTATGGAGAGCTCTACTAGTGATCCCGTAACTTTTAAAAACAATAACACTGTCATTTTCGAGAACCCGACTGAACATGATGAACTTTTGAGTGAACGCGGCAAGGACGTTTTTATCTTGATAAATCACGTGACGTTGAGCAGCTTATTTTGCCTGTTTGGCATTGCGGGCAATTTTATAAATATTCGCGTGTTCCTGAAACAAGGCCTGAAGAGATCGACGAATCTGAGTTTCTTCACCATGGCCGTGACGGACACGTTGGAAATAGTGTTCCAGATCTGGCACAACGTCTGCTTGAACCCGTATCTGCTGCACGTAGACTCGAGCGTGGATTTCTACGAAATTCAGTACCTGACGGCCGGGACCCCGAGTGTGCTCCTCGTGAGAATCACCGGCTGGATCACCGTGTACGTCACGGCCGAGAGATGCCTGTCCATCGCCGCACCGCTGAAGATCAAACAGATCGTCACGCCGAGGCGAACGGCCGCCATTTTGGTTTTCATCTACGTCATGAACTACGCGGGACTCATCCCGATCTACTTCGCTGCGTATTTCAGTTGGAAGTTATCTCCGGCCCGGAACAGAACCAAACTTGGGATGTCCTTCAGAGATGACGTGGATCAAATACTCAGTTCGACTTCATCGTTCCACAGCGGAATGACCGTCACCGCGTTCGTGTTAGTCATCATTTTTACGAGTATTTTGGTTTTCTTTTTAAAGCAAAAATCAAAATGGCGTCGCGCGTCGACCGCGCAAGCCGGCCAGACGGGAACGGTGTCGTCCAGGGAGCGCAAAACCGTCTTCACGGTGATCGTCGTGGCCGCCGTTCTCATCGTCTGCTACACCCCTGGCATTTCGTTTGACTTTGTGACCTCGATCAATCAAGACTTCAGCCTCACGGGTAAGCACGCGAACGTGTTCCAGGCCGCCTGGTCCTTTGCGTTTCTCCTCCACTCCGTCAACTCGAGCATCAACGTCCTGTTGTACTACAAGACGAGCACGAGGTACAGACAAACTGTACGGGGCATGTTCCCGAGATGTTTCAAAAATCGTGGACCGTCGGCGAAGACAAACACTGCAAATACAACACGGTGATTTTCACTGAACGCATTCCAATCTATTTCTCATTATAGACACAAATCTGCGCCTCTACTAAATGTCACTTTAAAAAAAAATACAGTGATATGCAGATTTTGAAGGCTATGTGTTTTGATCGTAAAATTTACACATACATATGTGGACTGAAATTGACACAGACATATGTGGACTGAAATTGACACATACATACGTGGTCTGAAATTGACACACACATATGTGGACTGAAATTGACAGGATTGTCCTATGAGCTAAGAACTATTTTGGCTTAATATGTTTTTCTTTGTATACTGAGTAATGTTTTTCAGCTTGTCACTTAATCGTAAGTTTGGTTAGACTTGAATATCTAACATGACAACCAGTTGTCCTGGTACGTAACTTGTCATCCACGTTTGGTTAGACTTGAATATCTAACATGAAAACCGGTTGTCCTGGTACGTAACTTGTCATCCACGTTTGGTTAGACTTGAATATCTAACATGAAAACCGGTTGTCCTGGTACGTAACTTGTCATCCACGTTTGGTTAGACTTGAATATCTAACATGAAAACCGGTTGTCCTGGTACGTAACTTGTCATCCACGTTTGGTTAGACTTGAATATCTAACATGAAAACCGGTTGTCCTGGTACGTAACTTGTCATCCACGTTTGGTTAGACTTGAATATCTAACATGAAAACCGGTTGTCCTGGTATGTGATGATCGAGATTCGTTCTTCTTCAACTTTTTTTGTATGAGGCCGTGCAGTATCATTCAAGAGCGACCTTCAAGATTTTCTTTTCTCGCCATCTGAACTGTTGGACGTGAGTCATGGCGACCGATGATTAAAACGTATTGAGTAATCACAGACACGTTTAAAGATAGATATTGCCATTGTATTCGAATATAAACATGATCTGAAGTTAATATTTTCATTGTATTCGAATATTGCGCATTAAACATAAATATTGTCATTGTATTCGAATATAAACATGATTTGAAGTTACAAAAAAACATTGTATTCGAATATTACACATAAAGCATAAATAGTGTTATTTTATTTGAATATAAACGTTTTACTGAAAATACTGTCATTGTATTCGAATATAAGCAGGATTTGACGTACATATTATCATTGCATTCAAATATAGCATTAGCGTACAAATTGTCATTGTATTCGAATTTAAACATGATTTGACGTAAATTGTTTTCATTTTATTCGAATATAAACATTTTTAAAACTTTTTATAAAGGCGTGGCAATGGAAGGTAAGAGGAATCGAAAAGTAACCCTTCCAAGAAACTACCTTGATGTTGTGGAAGGGCATGGGGGTCAAGACTGTCTGCACTGGGATGGCAATCCAACAGAGTAAAACGAACCACTGCCAGATGATCATTAAACATATTCAAATTTTGCCCCCAAGTGAGGCTCAACCAGTCAGCCACAAATCGGTTTTGACACACACAAAAAACATGGTTCTTGACAGGGTCTTGAAAAGAAATTTGGCTCTAAAATTTTTTTTAAAAATCGTCCTGCTTCTGATTTTTTGCTCCTTTGTCCTTGACTAATGAATTTGTCAACCACTGCCCTAGAATGTCAGAAAAGGAAAAGGCCAGGTACGAATGAAGTTATTGAAGCGACAAAGCCACCCTGAAGGCGAGCTGGATTTAGAGACTACTAGCTCCTTTACGCTGAGGAATATCACTGATCTTTGTAGCCGGAATCGTAGGTACCGTAGACTCACAAGAGAGGTGGGGGTTTGTGGAAAGATACTTCTAAAGACTTATTCTTCAATGGCAGTTTAAAAAAAAAAAAAAAGAAGAACAGATAAATAAGCAGTTTAGATTAAAATATATAGTCTACATTACTGCAATAAAACCTCTTCTNTTTAGAGACTACTAGCTCCTTTTCGCTGAGGAATATCACCGATCTTTGTAGCCGGAATCGTAGGTACCGTAGACTCACAAGGGGGGTGGGGGTTTGTGGAAAGATACTTCTAAAGACTTATTCTTCAATGGCAGTTTAAAAAAAAAAAAAAGAAGAACAGATAAATAAGCAGTTTAGATTAAAATATATAGTCTACATTACTGCAATAAAACCTCTTCTCTGGCTACCCCCCACACCTTTTTTGTGTGTGCTTCATGTCACATTTTGACAAATAAATACAAGTTTGCCATATTTTTTTTTCAATTTAGGAGATACATTGGACAAACTTTCACACCCCCACCCCATTAAAAAAACAAAAAACTAATGAGATCTTTTAGCAGCCTCCCTGAAAAACAAAAACTAATAAATAACAAATAAAAATAACTAATCCTCTGCCTCGTTCCATCTCAAAATAAGAAAATATCAACACAAATTGCAACATTTAAAATAGAATAATCTTCATACAAAAATAAAAGAATATATATAATAGTATCCATAGATTAATTTAATTTTACCGCAAGTGATACTTGACACGTTGGCTTGTTTGTGTAAAACAACGTTGAAATCATGTCGATATGGTTTGTAACGGTAAAGGCCATGATATAATTTGTTTTTTTTAAATCCACTTCTTCTACAAGGGTATATTTTAAGGATCCAATGTAATACCAACTGACCAGCAATGATATATCTTAAGGACACAATGTAATACCAACTGACCAACAAGGGTATATCTTAAGGACGCAATGTAATTTCACACAATGTAATACCAGCTGACCGGCAAGGGTATATCTTAAGTGCACAATGTCATACCAGCTGACCGGCAAGGGTATATCTTAAGGGCACAATGTCATACCAGCTGACCGGCAATGGTATATCTTAAGGGCACAATGTCATACCAGCTGACCGGCAATGGTATATCTTAAGGACCCAATGTCATACCAGCTGACCGACAAAGGTATATCTTGAGAAGACAGTGTGCTCTCGTTGTTGTAGACGACTGATGAGATGTGGCTACATGTTAGACGTTAAACGAAAATATGGTCTAATGACAACGTGCACCGTTACGAAACGATTTCGACAGCGGCGGCAGAAGCTACAACACCAGATGCACATCAGTTTGTCTTGACATCAACCGCGTCATTTTGACCATTTAAAAAAATAGCCCTTTTGGGTGGCAAGTGCAAAATGAATCAAACATTCCAGTGAATCCTTTGAGTGATGCATTCAGTATGAACATTCATAAAAAAAATATATTTGATTTAAAATAGTTTCAATAAATTAGTCCTTCAGCTCTGCAGTGGTCGTAATGTAAAAAAAAATAAATAAATGTATGATTGATTGCGTTTAAAACTATCATAACTTAAACACACGATTTTTAAATGTCGAGCTTACTGAAATCAGTGGCGCCAGCGTATGTGAAACGACTATATCATAATTTTTGGCTAAGTGTAACTTGAAAGGGGGAAAAACCACAACAAAAAAAAAAAAACACAAAAAACCAACAAAAACAAAAAAACCAAAGACACAAAACCAAAAACACGTGTTGTATAGACTAAATAGTGTTTTGTTTTATCATTAATATAACTAAATGGCAACTTTAACCCTGGTGGCATCATATCGCTATATAACTACACCAACACGTAGGATGATAGACCTATACGTAAACACACCCCAGACGAGCATCAATCTGGGGAAACACAAAGTGAGGGGGCGCGGGCCGCCTTAATTCCCACACTTAGCGGATGATTTCATATTCCGGCATGAGTTGTGTTCGCAATCATACAATCATCTTTGAACTGTTTACCGTTACCACTGTGACACACCGTTACAAAAATCAATCATGTCCACAGAGCTACAAGTTGATCGTTTCGTATATTCATTGCGCCGCTCTCATTTTGTATAGAGTTGATGATAAAAACATTACTCACTGGTACAGAGCGTTTTACGGTCGCCGTGCCGTGATGAAGGGGACTTTGCCGATAATTTAAGCGTAGCGTCATTGATTTGTAGACGTATCTTAATTGGTAGTTAAGGGGTGGGGGGATACTGTTGCTCGGTGGTCAGTACTTTCTTACAATTGTACAATTGTACAACATCTGTACTCACGCGTCCTGGGGGGTCGGTGTTTAGGGGTGAAGGGGGTGAATGGGGTAAATGTGGGGTAACAAAGCTGATAAATAGTCGGTATTCGTGCCGACATAATACTGGCCTTCATGCCAATATAAAGCTGGTCTCATAAAGCTGTTTACTTAATCCTGCTAAAAATGGTCTTCATGTCGATGCAAAGCTGGTTTTTGATGTCGAAGTAAAGCTGGTCTTCGTGTCGATGTAAAGCTGGTCTTCATGCTAATGTAAATCTGGTCTTGATGTCGAAGTAAAGCTGGTCTTCGTGTCGATGTAAAGCTGGTCTTCATGGCAATATAAAGCTGGTCTTCATGCCAATATAAAGCTGGTCTTCATGCCAATATAAAGCTGGTCTTCATGCCAATATAAAGCTGGTCTTCATGCCAATATAAAGCTGATCTTCACGTCAATATAAAGCTGGTCTTCATGCCAATATAAAGCTGGTCTTCATGCCAATATAAAGCTGGTCTTCATGGCAATATAAAGTTGGTCTTCATGGCAATATAAAGCTGGTTTTCATGCCAATATAAAGCTGGTCTTCATGGCAATATAAAGCTGGTCTTCATGGCAATATAAAGCTGGTCTTTATGGTAATATAAAGCTGGTCTTCATGCCAATATAAAGCTGGTCTTCGTGGCAATATAAAACTGGCCTTCATGCCAATATAAAGCTGGCCTTCATGCCAATATAAAGCTGGTCTTCATGCCTATATAAAGCTGGTCTTCATGTCAATATAAAGCTGGTCTTCATGGCAATATAAAGCTGGTCTTCATGCCTATATAAAGCTGGTCTTCATGCCTATATAAAGCTGGTCTTCATGGCAATATAAATCTGGTCTTCATGTCAATATAAAGCTGGTCTTCATGTCAATATAAAGCTGGTCTTCATGCCAATATAAAGCTGGTCTTCATGCCAATATAAAGCTGGTCTTCATGCCAATATAAAGCTGGTCTTCATGCCTATATAAAGCTGGTCTTCATGCCAATAAAAAGCTGGTCTTCATGCCAATATAAAGCTGATCTTCATGCCAATATAAAGCTGGTCTTCATGCCAATATAAAGCTGGTCTTCATGCCTATATAAAGCTGGTCTTAGATGAGGTTATACAAAACCATTTATCCTCAGGTAAAAATACCAGCATCAACATAATAATATAGTGCGTTTTTTTTTTTTTTTTTTTTTTTTAAAAGAGCATCGTGTAAAATATCTGCCACATTTCGAAAACGTGTGAGCACATACCTTACCTATAAATAGAATGATTCCATGACCTTTGACCGCCGGTACCGTCTGATGACGCAAGAGCGTGTTCTTGTTAAAACCGTACACGCTAATGTTTTATTTATTGTTTATGGCTTACAGGATAATCAACAGCATTAAAAATATAGAATACCAGTAACTATGACAGCTCAACATACCGACAACGTATCGTCTAAAAATACAACAAACATATTTCAAGATTCACAGGATGTTGGCGAACTGCTGAGTGAATTTGGCATGAACTTTTTTTTACTCATAAATAACGTGACCCTAAGCACGCTAGTTTGCCTGTTTGGTATCTTCGGTAATTTAATAAATATCTCCGTGTTTGTTAAACAAGGCCTGGCCAGATCAATAAATGCAAGTTTCTTCGCCATGGCCGTAACGGATCTGTTGGAGGTCATCGCTCAAATCTGGCACAACTTTTGTTTGAATCCGTACTTGGCACAGCTGGATTCAGTCATTGATTTCGGCGCCATCAAGTATTTGACCGCCGCGACCCCCGGTGTACTTCTTGTGAGAATCACTGGCTGGATAGCCGTGTTTATTACCGCGGAAAGATGTATGTCTATCGCTGTGCCGCTGAAGATCAAACAAATCGTAACTCCGAGACGAACGGCGGCCACCTTGGTCTTCATCTACGTCATGAACTTTGCGGGAATCGTTCCCCTTTACAACGCAGCGTATTTCAGTTGGACCTTTGACCCCGTCCGGAACAGGACAAAGGTCGGGATATCCTTCAGACACAACGTAGACGAAATGACGAGTTGGATTTCTTCCTATTACAGCGGAATGACGATCATCGCTTTCGTTTCGGTCATCATATTCACCAACATCTTGGTTTTAGCGTTGAAGCAAAAATCCAAATGGCGCCGCAAGTCGGCCGCACAAGCCAGTCAACCGGAGACGATGTCGTCCAAAGAGAGGAAGACCGTCCACACGGTGATCGTGGTGGCCACGGTTCTGATCGTCTGCTACACCCCTGGGATATTTTTCAACATAGCGACGTCGTTGAGCGACGTGTTCAGTCTCTCCGGTCGACAGATCAACGTGATCCAGGCCGCGTGGTCCTTTGCCTTCCTCCTCCACTCCGTCAACTCGAGCATCACCGTTCTCCTGTACTACACGACGAGTTCCAAGTACAGAGAAACTTTACAGGAGCTGTTCCCGGCGTGTTTTAAAGATCGTGGCTTGGCAGCGGGGACAAAAGTTTCAAAAGTAAATGAGTGAATCGCTCTCTCGTCATCACATATTCATGACAAATTGAGATTTTTTTTTTTTTTAAATGTCGATAATAGAAATCCTTAAATTCGAACCAAAAATGTTTGAATATTGAAACTCCCACCAATCATGTTGGCCCTGACTGCGCCTGAGCGATGTCGAATGAGCGCAATTTAAAAATATCGCGCGTTTTTTGTTTCGTCTTGTGGTTTGTTTCGTTTTGTTTTGTTTATTTTTTATTACAACTTTTAAAGGAAACTTACGTGGTGTATTGTTGAATATCTAACAATAGAGATACAGCTCGTGGTATGCGAGTTCTGTGCAGGATGCATTCAAAGTGATTCAAGAAAATCTTGTATCGCCCAATTCGACTACTCACTGAATGTTTCGTTTCAAATTCCTACTGACTGATTGTTAAAAAAAAAAAATAATAATAATCAATCAATGACATGCTTCGAATGATCTATTGTGTTTAGATCGAACCACGTTTTAAGCTATTTCTCTACATTCCAATACGAATGGCTGGAAAAGGATTAATCCATGGATATAATGCGCTCGGTAATGAATCAAACTATAGAGTTATAGTGAGCTCAACAGAGCGCTGATCAAATTCTCGTAAACTGCGCTAAATGAGAGTCTTAAAAATATCGGCATGTATGTTTGGTGGGTAATATTATCTTTTGTTTTTCTGAACAATTCATATTTTAAAGATCCACCCGTTTTTGTATTACCCACCGAACGGACCGGCCAGTATTTTTAAGAATCTCATCTAGTGCAGTTATCGGCAATTTTATTGTATCCTCCCCTTTGAAAAACAGAAGGAAAAATGAAAAAGATTTATAAGGATTGGAACTTGTGGATTAGGGCTAAAAAAAATTGACAGGATATGCTGTCATCGGCAACAATTCTATGTGCCAAATGTCAGCTCGATAGGTTGACGGAAAATGGGTCAGTTGGCAGTCCGAAGATTTTTCCAGCCGGCCACCCATGAACAAAAGCAAAGAAAGTATAAAGGATCGAAATAAACAACCCTTAAAGCATAGTTTTTTTTTAAAATAATTCCCTTATAATGTGCAGCATCGAGCAATGAGAGATGGGGCTGAAAATTTGACTAAACATACCTTCAAGTAACGCACGCAATAAGAATCCAGTTTCGGTATTTATAAAAAAAAAAATCGTATTTATTGCAGTTATTTGTCATGTTCCTTCACGATTCCCTTAAAAAAACAAGAAAAACTAATTTTTATGGGTTGGGGGTGGAGCAAAAAGTTTTAAATAATGTGTTGTCATTGGCAACGAGTCTGTGTGCCAAGTTTCAGCTCGATAGCTCGACGGGAATTGGATCAATTAGCAGTCCGAAGATGTTGCCGACCAACCAGCCACTCACGAACAAAGGCGAAGTTAAATAAAAAGGATCTATTTTTTTTTAAAAACGACTTAATTGTCATTTTTATTAAACCCTTATTTTACCTTTGCTGTTGTGTGTTTAGGACCGCAATCTTCGGATGGCTAAATGGCCGACTTCCCGTCAACCTATCGAGCTGAATTTAGTTTTTTTGTTTTTGTTTTTTTTTAATTTGCTATGACCCCTTGAGTAGAAAAACTTTGGGAAATCGAAGAAGACATGAAGTGGTCTTTCTCCTGGAAAAAAAAACTAACCGAATTACAGAATGCCTACAATTCCCCAAATCGGTTATCTGTAATTACAGTGAATATTTTTGGATTTCAGAAATATCGCTTAAACCTAAATTTTCCATCTGTTTTTTTTGTTTTTTTTTTGTATTTTTTTGCGTGAACTGCGACGCAACTTCGATCAGACCCTTGTAAAATTACTGGTTACATTTCGGCCGCAACAGAGAGGTCGAGTTTCGCTTCAGACAGATCAACCCTATAATGAACCCTCACTGCAATTAACGTTGCCTTTCTGAACGGTGGTTACAGATGCGGGGAAAACGAGCTGCCGGTGTTGTCTGCTTTTCGGAACACAATGTCCACACCACCCTCATGGCCAATATTTGGCCAATACAAGAAACAAACCCTTACAGGATTTCTTATACTTGTTTTGTTTTTGTTTTTTTTGTTGTTTTTTTAATTTGAAAACCACTGAATGTTCTTGCGATGCTACTACGTCACAATAATTATACCGACCAATGAGACGATGGATACCAGCACGGAAAACACCGCTAAAAGTTGTTTTTCTTCTTCTGGATTCAGATATAAAAGAGAGGCACGATCCACTTTTTCTTGAAGCCATGCAGCATTATACGAACGGTTTATCGAGCAAACAAGTTTCAGCTCTACCCACCTCCCGTTATTATGTATCAAACTGTGCGCTTGATCCAAGTGTAAAGTAGCATGGGATCCAGCTATCGTGTGGATATTTTGTGAGCTTTTTATTTTTTTTTGTTTAAAACTTTGAACTCCTAATGTGTTTCAGTGTTTGAGTGGAGAGCTTCACCATGAGCGGGAAGCCAAATACTCAACCGTGGGCTGAAGGTTTATTTTAAGGACAAAACGCTTACACTTTGTCACACTGAACCACCACATATCTTTATCCTGAGGGATTTTGGCAGCGGCACTATGAGGTGTGTTGTTTTCCCCCAGGTCTCCTTAAATGTTTCATATGAATTTCTTTTATGTGGTTTCCTTTTTCAATGATCACAATAGTTTCATTTGTTGTCATGCATAGTAACGACCGGTCTGTAAAAAAAAAAATTTAAAAAAAAAAAAAAAAAAATTTGGACAGCCAAAAATTGTCAGTGTCTGTAATAAGGGTTCGATGAATTTTCAAGGGTTATGCACAATATATACCATTCAAATCAAGAGCCAATTGACAATGAACTCATTTATTAAAATCGCTTATGTTACCATCATGGTTGCCATAATATCTGGAGATTTAATTGCATACCGCAAGAATTCAGTAAGATCAAATTACATTGTAATTACATGTCACCAAAACTTTAAAAAAAAAAAAAATCCTAAACACAACAGTGAGTCAGATGACGTCACCCACCCCAGTGGAACAAGAAGTTTATAAAATGAAGGTGGAGCTTGGTGGAAAGATCCAAGGGGAGATCATAAAACCCCTGGAGCCGAGAGGTATGCAAGGTTCTGATAGAAATCGAAAAAAAAATATTGTTGGAAAGAATTGGACAATATTACAAGGGACCGAGCAGCCTGGGGAGCTATTGTTAATTAGGTCAATGCGTCACAGGGATTTGAAGAAGAAAAAAAAGAATACGAAGAAGAAATGTGCCCCGCGCCAAAGAGCTCAATATCTACTTACAGTGGCGTAGCTAGGGGTTGGTGTCACCCGGTGCGGTCCACACCCCCGCACCCCTCGTAGCTACGCCACTGCCTACTTAGATAGGGGTAACGCTTCAGCTTATAGGTCTTGGCATAGAATTTTCAAATTATAGAGAAATATTTCATACTTTACGCTTTCAACACCAAACTGTTTTAGTTTTGATCACTGACTGGTTTTTTGTTGTTGTTGTTTTTGATTAAGCTAGCGATTAATGAAAGAATGTTTGTAGTTAAACGCTAAAGTATGTTGGGAGCTACGCAAAGCATCCCTTCGTTGTATTCTGTTTTTTCGAGCGCGCATCGCACCTGGGACACCACGTCACTATAAGATCACCTTGAAGTGGTCGACTTCTTGTCCTCAAGTAAGGACCGAAAGGGTAGAGAAATTCAGTCCACCCCCCATCCCCCGGTCCCAAATCCGTTCGCCTCCACCAAGGGTGTTACCGACTGTGTCTTAGACGAGTGAGTAAGAGGTGTGTCCTTTGATTCGTCGACACGTACGAGCTGAGACAGAGACTGGTAATTTTGTCATTCTGATACTTTTTACGATAAGTTAGCTCAGTTATTTTATGTAGAGCCATTGGTTGTGATGATGCTCTTAAATTCTTTGGGTACAAAACAATAGTTACGCCTAGACAATTTGCTTCTTTTCAAAGCGGGGTCGTGGAACAGTAAGCTTAAAAAGATATTATGTTTTAAAGCAGTTCTGATATTTTGATATTTAAAAAAAAAAAAATTGCTAGCATCTGTCCGTCACAATGTGACGATGGTGTATACTCTGTCCGTCACAATGTGACGATGGTGTATACTCTGTCCGTCACAATGTGACGATGTGACGATGTGACGATGGTGCGGACTTCGCAAGACGAAATCCACAAGGCCTGCGATTATTCCTTTTTTCTTAGGATTACAAGCTGGTTCCCTTTCCGAGCAAATCGCCTCTCTGCACGCCGCTGGATGACGCACTTAGGAACTCCATTTCCAGGCTTGAATACAGAGTTTGCTTCTCTTAGATGAGTTGCCATTCAAGGTTAACGCGTCACCGCGGTGATTGTTTGGCTTGACTTGTGGAGACTGAAACTCCAGGCCATGAACTTGAAAATTGTAAACTTGAACTTTCCACCCAGCTCCCCCTTTTCGATGTTTCAATAGGTGCCTCAACGCACACAGTTAACTCAACAAATAGAAGCTGCGACTCAAATTCTATGCCGTGAGTTTAAAATTATTTTTAATTATACGATACTGAAAATCCAATGCATGTGAGATTAATTTTTTTACATTTTAAATTGAAAGGATATTTTAAATACAGTGCTGTGGCCGGTCAGTTATCTCCAGTGGGAACGATGCGCTGCTTGCCAGATATATAAAACGGGTCAAGGCTGAGAATTAGGACATCGCTGTTCATTGACGGTCTGAAAACGGAATTAAGAATTTATATCTAGGAAACTAAAGGATGATCTTGGATCACAAATAAAAAATTTGTTTTTAAATAAATTTTAGTTTCACTTACCATTTCTGTTTCTTTTGCTACAAAATAATGAAAGTGATACCAATTTCCTTTTTTTTAAAAATATTTATCTGGTGTAATCTTTTTTTCAATGAGGCTTTCGAGCTTT